TTTACCTGAAGTTGAAATGCTTCTTTTGTTAACCCGTAAGAGAGGGGCTGTGGTGCCTTTTAAATTGCAGCTCGTGAAAATTCCTAGATTGACGAAAGCATGACGCCATTACAAAATGTTCTGATTTCTCTGCTCGCTCTACTTGATAAAAATAACGACCTTTAGAAACGAAGGAATGGATGGGCAATATCATAAATAAAAAAAATGGCTGAAAAAAATGACGGGATGATTTAATGTCAAAGACAAAAACTGAATCATTCACAATTGACTGAGTTATTGGATGGTTGAATGAATGAATAAAAAGAGCGAATGAATAAACGGAAGGGTGATTGGTGGGTAGAGGTATAGATAGCTGGTTGGATAAACGAAGAAACAAATGAATAAGAAAGTCCTTTGCTCTTAACAGCGCGTCTTTCGACATTGATTGAAAGACGATCCAAAAGTTGAAACTTTTTTTCGGAGACAGCGATCCTGTTTGCAACGAAAAACATCAGCTGTGCTTAAAGTTAGCCTCATATGCCATTTAAAACAATTCAGATGTCAAATATTGTGTTCCTGTTTTGCGTGTCTCTGTCGATATCCGCAGCAGAGTCATTGCTTCAGTTCACTGACATTTACCCGAACGGAACACACTTCCTAAAGTTTCCCTCCGGAGAGTCTCGAGGTATATCGCCGTCAGTGCCCACTTGCGCTCTCCCTAAATCTAACTTCATGATATCTTGAGAGTTAAAACGAACTGTCGTTGTTCCGGTCATTTTTACGGCTACATTCTTTTTGAACGGCAGAGATTCCGAAATTATATTGATTATACTGAATCTCTCTGAGGTAATGATCTCTCTAAGATGACCACAACAATGTCATCCTCGATTCAAAGTAGAGCCCACGTAAATATTAAATTTGGACATTGTTATTAAGAGGGATCTTCCAAACGCTGAGCATTGAACTAGTATCAAGGCCTGCTCCATTTCCTGATGTAATTTAACAAGCGGTCTGCAGAACTTCGTTCCGTTATTACCGATGACTCCCTAATCCCTGTTCACAGACCATACGGCGTGATTTGTAAATTTTTCGTGCATTTTTCAGATACTGATGTAGATGATGACCCTTCGTTCCTTTCTAGCAGGTTGAAGTGACATTTTGGATTTATGATAGGTCCTTATGGATGTTGTCAAAGGCTGTATTGACTTGGACTTATATAAGCCTGCCTACACTAACTAGACGATTTCACATTTTATAATGGAAAACGTACGCCTTTACAGAGAAAACAGGTGAAACCTCACCCGTCAATTCAGCCGATTGCTCAATGGTCTCATCACGTAATATACCGAGTCGTGTTGGTAATTGATTAGATTTTGGTGCCTTCTGCTTGATTGTAATCTTCGTCTCCCTATTGAAATAATCAGTGTGTTTCCGTTATAAAATGGGGTGTGGTGGTTGCAAAACGTATGCCGAATGGCAAATCTAGGCATACTCCTTCGGCAGTGGATATGAAAGAAAGCCCAGATTATGTAAAAAGCCTGCCATTGTCGAGCCTTGGAATCCAAACCACTAAGCTGCTCCGGTTCGCGGCAGACCATAACCATTTGAATTTCCTTCCGAAGCAGCTGTCTCACGACCTGAGCCAATTGCAAGTTTTGAAATTAATGAATAATAAGCTGCAGTTACGCAATAAAAAGTGCCATACGTTAAGGTGTCGGGACCGATTTCTAAAGATGGTTTGATTTTTTATTATATGTTTTCTGAGAGAGGAATTGTCGCCAGTGAACTTCGACGCAACCAAAAACTGGAAACTTCGCAAGAAAGTTGATGACCCAATAGTCAGGCGAACAAGACAGTATGTTCATATGGTAATACCAGAACTTGAGGGACTGGACTTATAAACATGCTCTTTAGCACACACACTACTATTGGTTGATTTAATTAGCATAATGTGTAATCAGGCGTGGTGATTGTGTCAAGGCAAGGTCCGATGCCGCCGAGCCGTTCTATCGGTTGTTCATGGTGGAACAGCCCTCAGGTATGTGAATTAGCTGCGAAATAAATAGACAATCTGAGTGATTCAAATACTGGTAAAGTTGGTTCTAGAAGATGGCACAAGGCCCGATATGACGAGTGCAGCCCGCCATCAAATAAGTGGTCTACTTACCTCGTCGAGCGACAGCCGGTTTCAAGCCTAATTGACAAGGACAGGTTGGCGTAAAACAGGCAGTATGCCGTAAAAGCCATGTCAAGGTCGAATATGATGAGTTACCGTCTCTCTAGAAAGAATTTTATGGCGCATCAGCAAATCCTTTTCAGCTGACTCCTGTTAAAGAAATCATAAAAGTCCATGAAAAGATTATTATATGTTCACAATTATTGTTAGCCATTCCTATGCGCTGGTAAATAAAACTCGTAAGATCGAACATTCCTTCCTAAGAAATGTATGGAAAAATTTTTATGCCATATAGATATTTGTTCTGACTTCTGTAGTATGCAATAGTTCTATGGAGCTACTTCAAAAGGGCATATTACGTACGTCTGCAACAGCAGTGATCTTCACGGAAGATAGAGATTTCTTTCATCGCAAACTCAAGTTTATATCGAAGGTGAAATAATTTTGATCTTATGCGTTATCGGTCAAGAAAACGCAGTCGTCTGCTTCAGTCAGTTTCTGTCCTTTGGTCAGATCATGATATATATTCGATTTTGAATGACGATGTAAACACTCACCTTGCTTCAAAATTGGCACAATAGTAAAACTATACGCCGATATTTTAACATGATAAATGACAGTATCGTCCAGGGCATGGGCTGCATCTTCAACATGGTATCGTGCACGAAGTTCGTAAAGACGGTCAATGAGCATCCTGAAATTCGCAGTCTGTTTGTTGTGGCATCCTTTCCCATTACAGAACTGTGTCGCTCACATCGGTGTTGCCGTTTCTCGCCAAGGTTCTCTAGCAATCAGAAAAGCAGAAACAGCTTATTGTAGTAAACTTATCCAATGCAGCATTAAGAATGGGAAAGTATTTATTTTGGAGTGTTAATTTTTGGTATTATCAATTTATGATTTCTCCATTTACAGTTTCGAGTTATGATAACATTATTCTGTGTTCATAGCAGTCACCGTTACTCCTTCTCAAGCGAAATTGGTCATTGAACGTTTATTTAATAATGCTTAAATAGCATTTTTGTAGGATATCCGATTCATCAGATCCTGCTTCACCAAAATCGCAGTACTTATGGATCCGCATTGCGCTTACCGAGAAACTTCTTGCCCAGATCGTTAACTACGTCGTCCACAACGCTGCGTACGTTGCAACTGACATATTTCGTTATGTGTGTCCGTCTTGTTCAGTGCCCGCATTTCTGTCAGTGTTTTTTGTCAGTTGGCGCAGTGAATGTGTTTGTAACTTTCTGATCTCGTATTTTGGACCTTGTTGTCTTGTTGTGTCTTCTTTACTTTATTTCTCTACAATTTCTTCCCTGTGGAGGTTTTATACTACATTTGAAATGGCTGCTGCTTTCAGCTGCCATATATACGATATATGCCATATCATTTTCATCGTTCATGGCGTATTTATATGTCCATCTTCTCTCTTCTTTTGTTCGAGTCGTTTCTGCTGCACATTTGAAAGTTGGATGCCGCCTTGGGCATCGTTTTATATTGTTTTATTTAGTAAATATTATGAAAAAGGTGCTCTAATGTTAGACCCCGTTTCTGGAAGCATGGTCGCCGAGCTGATAGGCAAGTTTTTTTCTGACATTATTTTAAC